AGAACTAATCTGCCACCTTTTGACAGGTATGTTCTCCACTGATATTTTTTTTAATCTTTGTGATGTCTTCCATTCAAAATACTTTATTGCTAACTATGGGTAATCAGTGATTTTTTTTTGAAATATTCGTTGTTTCGACAATAATGGAGTATTTGCATCTCAAAATCCAAATAATATTCATTACCGGAAGTGGTTCTTTTGATCATTCATCTAAAGAGGATTCTGGGTTTCTTTTATCCAAAGCGAATGCTTAGCCTATTTTGTGTTCTTTTTACAGTCAAAGACTAACATAAAATAACAAAGAAAATAGATTCATAAATTGGATACCTTGTATGAATTCCACATGTTGGCACTGTTTTGATATGCTTAATGGTAAACCTTAGTATGTGAGGACAGGTTTCTAGTTTTAGAGCCAAGCACCTGATCAACCTATAGGATTCCCAACTTCTCCAATAGGAAGGAATTTTATCTCATTTCTCCATCTACCAAGGAGAATTAAGTCCATTTTACCAATTAAAAAAGAAAATTGGGACCATTTCCCCGTTCATTGAAGAGCAAAAAGTGCACTGCTTGCACTGATCTCTTTAAACTTGTTATGGTTCATCTGTCCTTATTTAGCATTCAGACAATTCATGAGGAGGAAGAAGCTCAGAGTAGTTAGTAACACATGTACACTGGCTGTTTGTATATACACCATGCATAAATATCTAATTCAAATTCTTTTCAAAGGGCACTGTTTGTTTATTTTCTTACCTAGATAATTGTTTACTCCAGGATTGCGCATATTTTCCAAAGAGTAAGAACTTGTTAATCTTTTAAACAAAATGAGGACAATTATTGATTTTCTGCTACTTTTTTGGGTTTCATATTTGGTGTTGAAACAGCTTTGTAGATGACACAGAATCTTTACTTGACACAATTGATACCTTGTAAGATAAAAGAGTTGATTTTCTGAATTGTAAATATGGCTGCAGCACAGCCTTTATGCTGTGATATTAATACAACGTTACAGTTATCAAAATAAATAAATATTGATTTTCAGCACTTTCAATATGCTTACCTTACCATGAATGACTTCTTCAAACATGAACATAATTATTATTCTATTTGGTGTATAATATATTAGTTTCTGATTGGAGAGTAAGTAATAACTAATGAACCTGCTTTTATCAAACGGTGACCAATAAACCTGTTTATTAGCTGCACGGTCAGCCTCAGATGCAGTTCTCTCAGCCACTGGGAGCACAGCAGTTTCAAGGTAGGCAGCTACCATCTGGTGCCCTTCATCATGGTATGGGTCAAAGTCAGCTCAACCAAGGAAATCAGCTGAATCGACATTTAAACCAGTTTTCTAGTCCTATGAATACTGCACTATTCAATTCTGCCCAAAGCACACCTAGCTCTCAGATGGTGAGTATTTCAGTTTTTATGTTATTTCCTTCTTCATTTCAGCCTATCCACAATGACTTACTCATTTTGCCCGAGAATTTTAAGTTCAAAATCTCTAGTTCTGCTGTTTTCTGCCTCTATAAATTAATTTGGGATATTCTGGTTTTCTTACCGTGGCAAGTCGCATCTGAAGAATGCAAGTTGTTTATCACATGCATTGAACTGATATTTCACATACTGAAGAAAACCCTGAGGGGTAGCTCAGCTGGTAAAGGCCTGGGACAAAGTCCTTTAGGTCGCCGGTTCGAGCCCCAGCAGGGCCACTGGAGGCATTACAAACCGGCCGCGTCTCCAGGGCCCCGTGGAACTAACCGTGGTGGACCCGCCTTGAAACAGCGGGACCCGGTGGGTACAGCTAGTCGGGTTCGCAAAGCGACGCCCGGAAACCACGGTAAAAAAAAAAAAAAAAAAAAAAAAAAACATACTGAAGATTTCTGGGATCTTTGAAGCTGATGGTTCTAACTAAATGTTTGTTGCATCGTATGTACTGAACCAGTTAGAACCAAAAGTTCTAGAAAATTTTCATCTCTATTTGGTTCCAACTCATAGTTTGTCAATTAGTTTATTTTCCCCTGAAGGTACTCAATGTTGTATAGCACAGGATATGAAGTCATAGATCACTTGGCGTGCTGTGTATGTAGTCCTCCCCTATGACATAGACATAACTACCTTGGTTTACATGTTAATGCAATGCTCATCTGGTCACAAAAATGGTCGTTTCTGTGTCAACAACAACATAACCTAGTGTAAACCCATAAGTGGGGTCTGGAGAGGGTGGTGTGTAAGCAGTCGTACCCTTACCTTGGGAAGGTAGAGAGACTGTTTCCGATAGACCCTAAGCTAAAATAAAGCATATCTGGTCTTTTCTGTGTCAAGCTTCATTATGTCTTTTGATTATTAGCTGTTTATTGTTTTATTATATGTTATATTTACAAATTTCCTTATTACTTGTTCTGCCATTGAAATATGCGCATCATAATTTCTAAATTTATCGAGCATTCTTTGCTTGAACTTAAAATTCCAAATGTCCAGTCTGCTTCGAATTATGTTAAACTTATTCTATATGGCAGATTTCAAATATGTCAGCAATGATGCCATCACAAACTCTTCTGCCACGAATGCAGGTGTGTCAAATTGTATTTCCTATTGTTGTTGTCATGCATGCTGGAGTTACTATTCGGTCAATAATTATAATTCACGCAAGGTGAACTGAGTGCCTTCTCTGGAGTGGAGAGAGTGATCCGATGTCTTTATTTAGCTACAAAGGGAGGGAGTTCATTTTGTTCTGTTTGACAGTTGATTGAAATTTTCTATTTTATTGGCATTATACACATCAAATATTTTCTGTTTTGAGATCTGTCTTGACTGTGAATTTGGTTTAAATTGATGGGAGGCTATAGCTATATGTGTGAACATGCGGACACAACTTACATGTGGTCCTTGAACATGTGGACACAACTTACATGTAGTCCTTGAACATGTGGACATACACGCTTAAACATAATTAGTAACCAAGGAATTTGGTTCAACTTACATTTCTTGAAGTTTACTAATTATGTTTAAGCGTGTATGTCCACATGTTCAAGGACATTTTTACGTCCAATATGAAAATTCTGTTTTTTTCAAAAGTCATTTGCATGGGAATAACCTAATTTTGCAAGTTTTCATTTATATTATGTTGCCAATTGTTTTATGGCCTCATATGACTGCTTTCAGTTTGGAATGTCTGGTGGAACTCGGAATCTTGCTGCTGCAAACCTGAGTGATCAAAGTAAAAGCACCTCCCTATACTTATCTTTTATATAGTTCTGTCCATAAGGATTTTTCTTCATTTCTTAGCCCGAAGAGAGAATGCCGTAAACCAAATAAAAGTGCGCCTTGTTTCTAGTTGCAAAACATTTGTTCCTAAACAGAGATGGTGCTTTCTCTGCAGTGTTCAATATGGGAGGAAACAATCCTGGTATGATGTCAATCCAACAACAGCAGCAGCATGGCACATTTGGAAACATGTCACAAAATACACAGAATCTGCTGCAGGGTATGATGCCTCTTCAGAACGCACCTCAGACGCACCCTTCCTTTCAGCAACAAAGACCACAAGGCCAACAGTGAAGTGTCTAAGATTAGAAGGAAGAGGAAGGATATGTATACCAAACCTCAACATTTCCTAACTTTGTTTGATCTTGAAAAAAGTACGCAAAGGCCAGATTCTTGCAGGAAATTTTTGTTGGAACATTACATTTGTTAAAAGAAGATTGTAAAATTACGTGCCTTGTACATTATTCAGTACTAAATGTAATCAGAAGATGATGCCATCAGCATTTGTTTGCTATTCCACATCTTTTTTTTTTTACAGATTCTTTTATATGCTCTAGTTGGTGTCTCAATTTGAGACTATAAGAAGGGATCCAAATGAAAGAGTAACATAGGGTGTTTCTTAAAATGCATATACTGAGGATCATGGGTCCGTTGACTCCTGCAGGGTCTCTCATGTAGTGAGTCTTTTTCTGGTTGAAAAAGAAGTGCAGCATCTGTGAAGGAACCATCTCAACCTGCGTGTGGGACAGAGCAGGCAAAAACAATAATTTTAGGTTTTAAAGGAAAGTACATGGTAAATGTGGGTGGGGAAAAAGAAGTAAGAGGAGGTTGCTTACAAGTGTAAAAGGCAGGAGGAGCATCTATGATAATGATGATGAGGTTGGAGTTGGAGTTGGTGATGTAGTGAAAATGGGGTGACGAGGATGTCTGGATGAGGGGAAGAGGGTGGTGAGAATGGTGGGGAAGGAGATGAAGAGAAATAGTAATGGTGATGTGCAGGCCCGACACTCACCGGAAGTGGGGATCGGGGAGTTGGGGGTGACGACGACGGACTTGCATAACCAGTGACCATTCTGAGTTATCTAGCTTCCTTCCCCCATCCCCATGAGTGAGATAGATGATGTTAACATTTAAAGAGATGGAGCTCTGAATTTTGTAGGTAAACCAAACGGTCATTCATCTATCTATCTATCTGTACGTTTCAACAACCAATCTATGTATAACAATTCTTCTGTGTATACAAGGCTAAACGTCCATTCTATTGGATGCCAATAGGAAAGCATACAATATTGTAACTGCATTTTGTGGCCGGTAGGTACTCTGTTTCAGCGTCCTAAAATGAAACGAGGAGGCAATCTATATGACTATGATTTGTAGATTAGCTTTGATATTCAAGAATAGGCTATATGACTGAGTAGTATAGTTGACCCATTGTATATTAGTATTTTTTTGGGCCGGGACTCTATAAATAAAAGGAATTGAGCTAATCCAACAAACAAAACCTAGATATATAAAATCAAATCAAAATCGCCCTAAATATGGCGTTTTCTATTTAAGATGAATGAAAATATAGCTTTCCAAATGTAAAGTCGATTGATTCCGGTAAATAGTTACTTAAGTAGAAACATCGGTAGAGTGAAAAGGCAGAAAGAAGTTAAAAAGCGAAAATGAAAGGGGGGAAAGGGCATATATGTTGTTGCTTGTTCACTCTACAAACCACCATTGTTTGATTAGCTATCAATCAAACAGGTCATGTCAAACCAAGAGAAGAACAACCATCTCCCTCTCTCTTCTGCTTTTGCCAAGCTTCCAGATCATCTCCTTATTGAAATTTTCATTCGCCTCCGTATCTCTGACTGGGGAACTCTCTCTTGTGTTAACAAGCAATGGGCTCATCTCTTTCGCCAAGACTTGCTCTGGAATGCTGCTCTTCTCACCACTTTTCCTCTCGCTGCTCCTCCCCACCTTAACAGAAACACATGGCCAGGCCCTATTCCTCAAGGCTTGACCAAAAGGTACCTCTTTTACACTATTTTTTGCCTTTATATGTATATCCAAAACACAATATAGAAGATCAATTTAAGCTTCAAACCTACACCTGTGCACTGAACTCTCAAGTAAATTTGATAAATCAATCTTTGACTTACGAATGACATTTTCAGGAGATATACTGCATTGTATGTCAGCAAACACATCTTTTCACTTGGTGAAAATTTGGATGACGAGATTGTTGGTCACGTTTATTTATTTCTCAAAGAGCAGCTTGAAATTTCAAAAATGCCCCCTTTGTCTGGAGTACTTCATGGAACCATCATAGGTGCCTGCCTTTCTGCTATTCCTCTTTTCTCTGGTTGTTTCTTATATAATAACAAATCCTAATAGATACTTCAGATGTGATCAGTATGACAAACTTGGCCTGCCTTTCTTATTTCCTCAAGTTTTAGCACTTCCATGTACAAATTAATGTTCACTGTTGTTTTATTTCTCATTCATAACATGATACGTAATTGCAAAAAATGTTATATTTGGTAAGATGAACTAGGTAGAAAATCAGCGTAATCTTTTTCTGGCAATGGAAACATGAAGAACCATTGTGCTAAAGAATAAAAGCAAAAAGAGTTAGCCTTAAAGATACACCAATGTCTTTAGTTCCAACAGGCAGGACTATGCACTAACCCTACTAGGTATAATTTTCCAGGTTTTCACTTTTCATGACTCAATAAAAGGTTAATATATCAATCAAAATTTTGAAGTACAAAATAAATTGTTTCTGAAACATGGTGGGTTACACCACTAATTCTAAAGGGTGGGCAAAGGTAATTGGAGAATGAAGATACAAAAGATTCCTATTTCTTTTGGCGAGAGGCTGTTGCGTTTACCACCATGAGGACTAGGGTGTTTGTTACTTACAGAATGTTGCAAGATCCAACTAGCTGCATTTACTCTGCTATTTGATTCTGTATATAATAGTGAGTGGAGCCCTTAGCTGATAATTGCAGGAAATCTTGTTATAGTCTAATCAAGACTCAAGTAGATCCTTCTCTTAGGGAGTGGAGCACTCTTCTTTGTTTTGTTCCTTTTTAATAAAAGCTTGGTATGTGTTCTGAGCGAGCCTTCATGTGAGGTGAACGGTACCTATGAAGTGGAATCCATGCTAAGAGTAACTAGACTTCTTAGAAGAAGATGCCATTTGTTTGATGAGAAATAAAAAGGAATATCGAAAATTCGAGTGGCTGAAGCTGAAACAACTACTTTCTATGTTCCTTACTGTAGTCTTGGTCCATAGTTTAAGACTCCGTTCCTTACACACAGCTGATGTGACTCTGTATTGATGCCTTTCCCTTTGTAGTTTGTATGGTATACGGTTAGGTGACTTTGTAACCTCAACCGACTTTTTTTGCTTATTGTTGTATAGGCATAGCAACTTCAGATGGTTGGTCTCTTTAAAGTGTGTCTTGGTAAGTTTCTTTGGATTTCCTTGAGTTTTGACATGGAAACCTGCCCAACCATTAATGACTCTGCTGGTAGAGGTTTAAAGCCGCTTTTTTGTTGAGCTCGAAACTTTATAATGCGAGATTTTATATTTTGCTTGATATCATTTGACTTCATTTTCTCTTTTTAAGAGTGGGGAGTTGGGAAAGAGATACAACATTGGATGTCCTCTCTAAGATGGGTATGTAGAACTAAAAACCATGAAAAAATTTACATAAGCTCCTGACAAACACCAAACAAATGTATAATATGCTACATTTGGAATTTGGAGGATCCACTACAACCATTCAGTCTGTTCCACAAGACCCTTCCAGAAATGAATACTGAAAGATATAAGGCAGAGAAGGGATAATTGGAAGAAAAATATGATTGTGCTCGATTCTTGTGGGAAAAAAAAATATGATTGTGCTAGATTCTTGTGGAACTAGTGAGACTGGAAGAAACTATGTACACAGAGCCCAGGAGGAGCTACTTACTTGAAACATTATGGTTTTAACTGATTGATGCTGCTATACATAGAATACCGGCTTATCGGGTGCCTTGTAGATCACTATGACTAGCCCGATAATGAAGTTGTACCACCGTCCTTGGCTTGTGAAGGAAAAGTGGGGAATTAAATAATGTACCTTTGAGAAAGAAAAGAGACACAATGAGAGACTAGAGATCATGCCATAATAGAGGCCATTTCTCAATAACTTCAGATGACAATGCGGCAAAAAGAGGTCACTCTACCATATTCTTGTTTTATCGTCTCTGGAGAGGTTAACTAGTAAATAGACCTCCTCTTCCTCTGTATTCCTTTACCTTTTTTAAAAAATCTTCTGTAGAACTGTCCTAACCTCTATATGGCTGCTAAAAGTCTAAAACTGTATGCTTATTACCCATTCCCTCTCCCTTCCTTAACCCCAGGTTTAAAACTACATTGTGATAATTGATGAAACTACTGGCTAGTGTTTTCTTTTAAAAAATGTAGTTCTGCTCTGCAACATACATGAGACTTGTCAGTGAGATCTGGTATCAGTTCACAACCTTAGGGCTTAAAAAGCTAATGATGTGGCTTTCTTATCACAATCCTTGAGGAATATTTGGAATGTTGACATTTATTTAGATACTAGTTTCTGGACACGCGCATTGCGCGTGAACCCTATGTCAATAAGTATACAATTTTAAAAAAAAGTTACATCGATTGATAACATATTAGTGTTATAAAACAAAATAAAAGTTTGTTATACTTTTTATATCCACAAACATGATGTTCGATCGCAAAGTTGTAAAAAACAGAGAACGACAATGTTAAATTATAAAGCTTATTAAATTGAAGGACCTTGAATACATTTTTCAAAATATTTTAATTTATACAACAACAAAAACAACGATATATCTATATAGTACTATAAAGTGGTATGATTTTATTATGTTAAAGTGTTTGGATAAATATTTAGTGTAGTCCAACAAAGTGATTTAATAAATACATTTAAAATAGTATTTTAAATAAATAAAATTATATTTCTTTTCGCATATTACAAATGTTACTTATACTGTATATGTATAAATAGCATTCAAAGAGCTAACTTTACAAATGTGAATGTTTCTCAATGCAAATTCATTGTGAATTCTTATATAATAGTAAGATTTAATCCCAAAGATATACTATAACTTTCTTTAATGAATTAAGTTCATATGAATGGTTCTCATATTTGTATTCTTTTAAGTTCAACTTTTTAAATCTTTGTTAGAACGAATATTGATATTTTAGCATAAAAGATTATAGTTAGATCAGTGTTTAACTAACATTTAAAAAATCTTTCAATATTTTTGTGGTTTTTTAGTATGCAGTTCAACTTTATAAGTAAGAATTTCCCACTTTTAAAACCACCGATGTGAGAATAAAATGCATAACTCATGAATATTGTCAAATTAGGAAGAAAACTTCTAACATGAAGAACCCAATGGCAATAATGGTAACTTATCTTACTTATATAACGTGGGAATATGTAAGGCCACTTTTATGTAGGATATCTAGTAGTAGTATTTATCATAGTAAATGTTCCCTAATTGCATTATATTGATTACAACATATATTCATAATTGGATACTTTTGAGATTATGTAAATTCTCTAGCATTTTATTCCTACATAACTACTATTTTGTAGTATTAAATATCCAAATATAATTACTAATTAGAAAGTATATTAAGAGATTCTTGAATCGGGAAAAATCTAATCCTAAAATCAAAATTAAAAATTCACGGTAACTTGATCCAAAAGGGAATGAATTATATATCGGTAAATAAAGAGTATAAAGAGTGCATGTTATTGTTTTGTAAATAATATTTATTTATTATTGCAAAGAGTATTCATACTACCTATGTTTAAAGAGTTGAGAAATTTAAAAGAAACGTACCTGATAAATGGAAAAAGGCAAATATGAAAAAAATAAGTTTCATGTTATAAGAACTCAAACGTTTTCACCAAAAAAACAAAAATGAAAAAAAAAGAAAAAAAAGAGAGGCAATCTTAAAATTAAAACAACAATTACCTGAAGATTCAAAATGGAAGAAAGAATATGATCATAATAATCATGAACTTCACAGTAGCCGTATACAACAACCTTGCTCGACATCAAAATTAAATCATCACTGTTAGACAAGAAATATAGATATCAAAAGATATGTTCATCACGTTTTTTGTACACAAAAAAATAATTTATTTGGAGAAATAAAATATTCATAAAAATTTCAATACAAACTATGAAATTATTTTACCTCATGTGATCTTCAATTTGATATAAAAAAAAGTATTTCATGTGCACAACAAATCTAATCTTCTTTGCGCTTGTGTACACCAATCCCTTCATACGATTGGAAAACCAATTCCTTCAAATATCCTCTAACCTCTGTTTGTAGTACTCATATTTTCCAACAATTTCATATCAAAACTGAATATATATACATTTGTAAATACCTAAAACTCTTGTGAAAAGTTTAAAAAAAAAAGTTCTTAATAGAGAAATTTTAAGAACAAAGCTCGAAGAATTGAACAAAACATTAAAAAGAAGTTTAAACTCAAAATAAGACTCACCATTTTGGCTTAGAAAAGACTGTAAGATCAATTGTGATCTTTGAACTTCTGTTTATAAGATGTTACCCACATGACATGGACTTTTGGACTTCTTATTAAATAAAATGAAAAGAATTAGTGAAAAAAGATAACTAAAAGTGGGAAAATCAGATTTTTTTACTCTTAAAAATGGTAATAGAGTCATTTAATTTTACAGGGGCATTTGGTATTTCAACTTTTCATTTGTGATGTTCCCACTTATAATAATATATATATATGATATATGATGATATGATATGATATGATGTACTTGTATAGACCCAGAAGAGCATGTTTGATTTTATAAGGTTTGATCACTCTTTTTCTGTGTAGATGCACACCTAAAAATTTAGGTGTCAATATGGTCCCATAGCCCCATACTAAGCATGGATCTATTTAGTGTTTAACAATCTCTGCACTAATAGCACCTTGATAGTAACCTATTATTTAACTTTTCCTCTTCAACCCTATAATCTTGTTCTATTTTCTTTCTTCTCCAGATCAGTTTATTGCCTGTGGTAAGTCGAGGGACATGGCTCATGAGCTTGCTTCAATAATCTGGCTGGCTGTGGTTGACAATTTGGAGGAGAATGAACAAACATTTAATTTGCTAAAGCGTCTTGCATCAGAAGGGGATGTAAGCAAAATTGGAGAGCCTTCTATTCCTTGTTGTGCCTATTACTGTGTCTTTCTTGTATTGATGGCCTTGTTATGATGGGCATCATTTAATTACTACATGACATAGTTATTAAATCAAACTGTTGTGATAGTTTCTTTGTGTTTGTTAAATCTGCTAGTTTATATTTGTTTTGTGGTAAGGGGCTTGGTTGTAAGAGGCTATCCGAAAAAAAGAAGAAGATGGAGGGTAAGGGCATAAAAACAAGGGAATGGCACGTGAAAGATTTCGACCTTATTCTCAAGTGTTTTGATTCAATTATCTTCAGACAGTTTTCATGTTTTCTGTAGTAACATAGTGCTTTGTGTGTCATTCAATGTATTTTGCAGGTGATCTTACCTTTCCCATATTCAAGGTCTTATAAAGTCCAATGGAGAGTGTTTGAAAGGCTTTTCACAGACTTCCGCGACTGCTTGAATCATGAGGAGTACTGTGATCTATTGGCATGTGCCAAGCAAAAGTTTCAACAAGTACCATCTGTTTGGTTGGGCTACTAGCATAGAGTTACAAATGTAAACAAGTTCAAGTGTGTGTTTTCCTCCTTTTTATAAGAATAATGTAATTTTGCAAGACATATAAAAAGGAACATGACGGACAAGGTTATGAATTGTAAAGACTAATGTTTGAAATGAATGTCCTTAGTTTCAACCTCTCAAATGCACATTAATTGTAGTTAGCATTTAGAAAGAGAAGTTAGCAAATCTTACATATAACATTATAATAAACTGATGCTCTATGCTGTTGTTGCACGTCCAACAATTAACTACAAGGTTAAAAGACTATAAGTCAAACATAATACTACGTCACTTGTATATTTTATTGCAAGTAGTTAATCGAACCATCTACCTCACTTGCGAATCATCAGAATTTGGATTTAGAGATCTACTTGTGTAAAAAAAAAATACGGTTAAAATTCTATTATTTCTTGTAAGTCATACAACGAACACGTGTTGCTGTTAAAATATTTATGCTAAATAGTAATATGTGATTAAATTTATTACCTTTATTTTGTATTTCTCATATGTGCTGCTATATCGTGTATATATATAAATTAATAATGTTAAGAGTATGTTGATATTTCTACAATTTCAAAAGAAAGTATTAAATTTGATCATAATTTATCCTTTTGTATTAGGTCAAGTTGAATTAAAGAAAAAAATAATCCAACACCATTCAACTAGTGTAGTAAATAGTAAGAGAGGAGGGAGCAAGTAGAGAGGGCGGGTTATTTTAGTTTGTTTTTGGACAAATTGGTACATACATACATAGAATAAAGAAAGAGATGAATGAGTATTTCAAACGCCGTGGTGGGGTTTAAGGAGCGACATTTGTAATAATCTTCTAATAAATAAATATAGTAAGTAGTAGAGTAGATGTAATTTAAAACAAACAAGAAAACTCTCTCTTCTTCTTCTTCTTCTTCTTTTCTTCTGCTCCTCCTCTCTCTCTCTCTCTATATATATGTAGGATATATAGTTCTGCGCTGCGTTTAGGAATTGATCATCACATCACACCACACCACACCATCGGGGAGTTATGTAGCAGACCTCTCTCTCTCTCTCTCTCTCTATCTCCTTATCATTAGAGCAGGTAAGTAATCACTTTCCTTTCCTTTTCATCTGCTGTTGTACTAGGGTTCTTATGTTACACTTTGACTCTCTTCTTCTTCTCTCTTCTTACCATGCGATTCTACCAAAATACCTGTTGTCAATTTTAATTACTCCATTTCTCTTCTGATGACCCTGGTCTCTGTTTGTCCCTTTTCAGTGCATCCCTCTGTGTTGATCACCACTCCGATTCTGATAACAGATTTCACATGGCCATTACTACATACAACCCGTTTTACAAGCAGGAATTCCGAATCCTGCACTTTTTCCTATTTATACACCCTATCATACAAAAATTAAAACTTCTATTTGGACAATCAAACCATTCAGCTTCTTTGAATCATTAAAAGTTTTGTTTTTCTGAATTTCAAAACTAAACTAGGGTTGTTTAACCTATTACTTCTTTTGCTGACCACTCTTGACCAGTTATTCATTTTTTCATTTATATAATCACGCTTAACTGCTGGACATACAATGCTCAATTTAATCTTCAATCATTGTCCCCTCTGGTCGTGGGGTTGATTGTGACTACATGAAAAATAATTTGATTGGGCCTCTAGCAAGTAAATGTTATGGTAGCTAAATAAATATTTCTGCTCATCCCTATTTACAACAAGTCTCACTGCATCATTAATTGTTTCCTCTTCTTTTTAGTTGACAAAAACATTTTCTGTTCCTTGTTGGTTATGATCTGAATCTTCCATTGCAGTTGCCCCAGATTATATGTAGTCACCACAGCTTAGTATCTTTTGTTTCTAGAATCTCTTGATGTGATGTTGATGAAAAGCTTCGGTTGAAATGTCTCCACCTTTGGCTTAGTTGATTTGAAAACTCTTGTAGTTAAAGTATGCTTGCTTACTCTTGAGCAACATGGCAACTGAGAGCCCTATGAGAATACTCCAAGACAGTAGAAAAGAAAAGTGGGTTTCTACCAAGGACACGGTCACCTTCGCATCACCTATGAATGAAGTGGCAGCTGATGAACTGGGATTGCTTCTTAAAGGTCATAAGATTCATGGGCATAATAGAAATAAGGTTCCAAATCGTAGTGGTAGTGCGCCTCCAAGTATGGAGGGCTCATTTTCAGCCTTCGGTAACCTTGTCTATGATCAAAGCTCCGGCCGGAAGTTGAGTTTGGCAAGCTTAGACAATGCCATGCAGAACTGGCAGTCTGAAGAGCAGATGCGTGCTGATCCCTCGTATTTTGCATACTACAACTCTAATGTCAACTTGAATCCTAGGCTTCCTCCTCCTATTATTTCTAGGGAGAACAGACACCTGGCACACCATTTTGCAGATCTGGGTGATAGCTGCCAGTTAAACTCTTCTGAGAATAGTAAAGATGGATCCTTGCATGTGACTAGAAGTTCTCTCTCAACTCATGATGAGGAGCCGGAAGATGAAAATTTACCACAGAGTGCTTCAGATGATCTGCCCCAAAGTTGTGCTTCAGGACAGCACTTGGCCTCCTTTGCAGGTCAACATAAAAGTTTGGTTGACCTAATACAGGTATTGAAGTTCAAGAATATTTCTTCCATTCTGTGTAATATTTCCTTTTTTTCAGTTTCTCTTTGCATGTGCCCAACTTTTCAACATCTAAGAAGTTCTGCTTAATTTTCTGAAGCATGCCTGTGGTACATTGTGCTAATGAATGAGAAGATAGTATCATTTAGATTTCTGGAGTGCTATCTTTTTCATGTTCCATGCTGCCTGCTTATACTGGTGCCTAAATTTGATCACAGGAGGACTTCCCTCGCACTCCATCACCAGTTTACAATCAATCTCGGTCCTCTGGTCATGTTACTGCAGAGGAACCAACTGATTCTGATATTCAATCTCTTACATTGGACGGTCTCTCCCTTGATATTTCAAATAAACACGGTGCAGATGCTTGTGCGGATGTCTCAGGTGACCATGATATCACTGCCTCTGATCAGCCTTTGGCCATTACACTTGAAAAAGAATCTTGTTTTGACAGTCTTGGGAAGTCTCATTCCTCTCAGAAGGGTGAATTACCAGGTAATGATGCACATCTGGTGAATGAACTCTTAGTCGGTGATGAGATAGCATCAGGTATTTCAAAGAATGTTCAGGCTCCAGAGGCTAGTAAGAACAAGGATGAACAGTATTTTCACAGCAGGATTGCAGTAGAACAGCAACAACAGCAGCAGTACCACTCCCAGCGAAGCACGACTTACCAAGTTAATGGCCCACAAGTTCAAGCAAATACACTTGGGACTAATACACTACAAAGTAGCCTAGCAAGAGGTTATGGTCATAGCTGGTTCTCTTCAGTTGAAGTACAAGCAGCTCCTCAAGGTTCTGGCCTCACACCTCCTCTATATGCAACAGCTGCAGCCTATATGGCTTCTGGTAATCCGTACTATTCTAACTTGAGTCCATCTGGTGGATATGCCCCTCAATACAATATAGGGGGATATGCTTTGAGTTCGCCTTCTCTTTCTCCATTTTTAGCTGGATATCCGTCTATGCATATTAATGCTGGTTCTGGACGAAGCATCAGTGGTCAAAGTGTTGCACCAAGGGAAAACATTCCACAAGTTGGTGATCTGCATCATTTAACCAAGTTTTATGGGCATCATGGATTAATGATGCATCCTTCTTTCCCAGATCCTTTTCATATGCAGTACTTTCATCATCCTCATCCTGTTGATGATTCACACACTTCTCCTAGTCAGTATATGCAGTTTCCTTCGCCTGGTGTGTTTGGGCTTGAAGTTGATGCTTATGCCTCACAGAAGGAGCCAAATCTCCCTTCTTATATTGCTGAACAGAATTTTCTTCGTCCACCAATTGGAAGTCTGAACTTACCAAGTCCTGGAAAAATGATAATTCCTGGTAATAATTATTTTGGGAGTCCATCGGGCCTGGGATTCACGCAACAGTTTCCAGCCTCACCTCTTGGTAGTCCTGTACTGCCAGGATCCCCTGTTGGAAGAAGGAATGAAATTAAACCTGCCCCTGGTTCAGGTAGAAATAATGGATTGTATTCTGGATGGACTGCACAAAGGGGTTCTGGTAGCTTGAATGACTCTAAAAGACATTCATTTCTCGAAGAACTGAAACAAAGCAATGCTCGAAGAATTGACCTCTCTGATATTACAGGTCGTGTTGTTGAATTCAGGTAGTATATATGTACCAACTGTGTATCTTCTGCAGTAAACTCTCTGTATAATCCCAAAGATGTGAAGTTAATTTAATGGTTCTTTAACCTCAGTGTTGATCAGCATGGAAGTCGGTTTATACAGCAGAAATTGGAAAATTGTAGTATTGAAGAGAAGGCATCTGTTTTCAAAGAAATTCTTCCACATGCTTCAAAGCTAATAACAGATGTTTTTGGGAACTATGTCATTCAAAAGGTAAACATTGTGGTTTTCTGTATTTTCACATCTCTCTGGACATTTTCAGTTTTTTAAACCCTTGAGCCTTTAACCTTCCAGCATGTTTTGCATATCTGAATTATGTGTCCAGTTCTTTGAGCATGGAAGTCATGAGCAAAGAAAGATGCTGGCATGTCAATTAGCAGGGCAGATGCTGCCTTTAAGTTTGCAAATGTATGGCTGTCGTGTTATTCAAAAGGTATATCTTATTTCAAGTATATAAATATATTTTTATGATTGGATTCATATGGAAGTTGTTATTCTTGCATGACGAACAACTTGTATATGGGGACTTCACCAATAAATAATATCATTGTCTTACAAAAAAACAATTGCCTTTCAAGCCATGGCCCTTGATTTTGAAGAGTCGGAGTCACATTTACGTATCCTCACAGTCATCAACATTTTCCCCATGTACATGTCAGTGTTGCTCAATCCTTCTCTTGAATCAGGTCATGTTTGCATAACTGTACGAAACAAGGATTTTTG